TCCAGCCTTGCCAGTGGGGCTCCCTTCCAGCTCTCTGCCTCTTCCTATCTCTGTGTGTGTCTGATTGTGTGTTTGTCTCTGTTTATACCCGTGTGTGTCTCTTTCTCTGTGTTTCTGTTTAAGTCTCTCTATATGTTTCTCTCCATATGTGGGAGGAAGGGAGAGGGGGGCTTTCTGTCTGCAAGTCTCTGTTTTGCTCTCAAGATGTGTGTGGCTTTTTTGTGTCCCTGCTCACTTTCTATTATATGCCTGTCTATCTGTCTACCTACCTACCTACCTATCTATCTCTGTGGCCTTTCTGTGTCTCTGCTCATTTTTCTATTATATGTCTGTCTATCTGTCCATCCATCCATCTGTCCATCCATCCGTCATCTATCTTTTTCTCTGTCTATTATTCTTTCTTTTTGTCTGTCTCTCCATCTGTTTGTCTCTCTCCTTTTCTGTCTGCGTCTCTGTCTCTCCCTTCATCTCTGTCTCTCTGCCTCTCACCCCCATCTTCATCTGTCCTTCTGTGTATGTCTCTGTTTGGATATNGTCTATTGATCTTTCTTTTTGTCTGTCTCTCCATCTGTTTGTCTCTCTCCTTTTCTGTCTGCGTCTCTGTCTCTCCCTTCATCTCTGTCTCTCTGCCTCTCACCCCCATCTTCATCTGTCCTTCTGTGTATGTCTCTGTTTGGATATTTTTGGTCCTTCCCACCTACCCCAACCCCCAGAATAGCTGTCTTCCAGAAGAACTCAGGGTTTTTATTCCCTCTTCTCTTTGCTGCCCCCAGACCAGCCGTCTGGTCCACGGGTGACTATGTGTTAAAGTGGAGGAGTACTGGAGTGGGAGTGTTTGATTTCTCAGTACTCCCTCCCCTTCTCCAGAAGGGCAGCGTCCTTGTCTGTGTATGTCCATCTGTGAATCTCCCCCGCATTCTGAAACCCTAAAGAGACATCATAAAAGGCTTTTCTCAGCATCAATGTGCAAGTTCCTTTAAAGATCAGCACAGATTCTCCACTCCAGTCCTCCCGTCTCCCTGCCCTTCACTTCAGCAGAGGGTGGGCTGGAGTCATAAGGCCAGTGATGGGCTCAGCCACCCCCAGCTGTCACTCCCACCTCTGTCCTCACTCCCTGTGTGATCGGGGAAAATGCTCCGACCTCTCTGAGCCTCAGAGGATGACAGTGCCTCCTCCCAGAGCCAAGTAGTGACTGACGCAGAGTCTGGCACAGAGCTGAGGACAGCAGGTGCTCTGGAGAGGTCAGCTCCTCTAGACCAGAGCAGCCACTTGTCTCCTGAATGCATTCATCCGGTCACTCATTCATTCACTCATTCAACAGGCATGGCAAGAGACATCGAGGCTGGAGAGAGCACAGGCTGATCCCAAAGGTCCTATGAGCCTCAGTTGCTAAAGACTCCAGATCGTTGTTGCCAAGAGACCTTGGGGCAAGGATGAGCAGTATTATCTGAGTGCAGCAGGAACCCCTAAAGAGCAGACTTTCTATGAAATATAGTGGTGTGGACCATGGTTAGACCTTTGAAAAACCAGTGAAATTCAGGTGGAAAAAAGTGGCTCAAGTAAGCATTGCTTTTAAGCGTCCCTCCCTTTGATAAAGAGTCTCCAAGGGAGGCAAGGAGAGGTCACATCCAGCGTGGTGAAGGCCAGTACACTGCCTTTGAGCTGCAGTCGTGACAAGAGAACATAAACTTTTCTCATACATTATCTTTTTACTTTGGATTCTTACTTTCCTTAATCCACTCATAATATGTTTGTGAAAACATGCTCAAGTCCTGCATGTCTTTGTCCCCCAGGCTTTGTCCAAGTCTGGCAAGTGGGAGGTTTTACGGATAATTTGTGGTTGGTTGGATGGAGGGCTGGGGAGCTGGGGGGGTGGATGGATGGATGGATGGATGGATGGATGGATGGACAGATGGATTGTTGTATGAGTGTTTAAAGGGACATGATCCCTCCAGGTATACCTCTCCCTCCACCCTTGTATGATCACCAAGAAAGCCCCATGTATTGTGATTGGCTTGGAGAGACTAGAGGGTGGTTAGGACAACCCTCTGGCTGCTGCCCAGCCTGTCTGCAACCAGAGTCAAGAGGATAATTGTCCCCAGGATCACAGCTACTGATTGAACAGCCAAGGAGCCAAACATCTCAGGACTCATCAGGAGAACTTGAAGAAATGGGCTCAGAAGCTTTGGGTTAAACTCTCTGAGGTCTCCTCTGTCCCTGCAGACAGACTGTTCACTTCTTTCCCACCCTCCAAGAGCAACCTGAGCACACTTCTATCATAAAACAATTGAGCATTGTCTCCTGTTTCCCCAGTTTGCTGAGAGCTCCTCAAAGGCAAGGATTTTTCCCCCCAAAATTTTATTTTTCTAGTACCTAGCACAGAACTTGGCATGTGGTATAAGCTAAAGGTAATATTACATGGATCAATGAGTTGAAAGTTAGATGGTTGAAGAGTGGAGTCACGGATGATTTGCTTTGAGGATGACGGGTGAGTGGATGGCTGGCTGGATGGATGGTTGGTTTTAAAGGTGATGGGTGGTTGGAGGGATGGATGAATAGATGGTTGGTTTTTTTGGATAATAGCTGTTGAATGCTTTGCTTGATGGGTAGTTGAATGGTTTGCTGGATGACTGGTTGGATTTGGATGGATGGGTGGTTGGATTTGTATGGGCAGGTAGATGACTGGATGAATGCATGGATGGATGGATGGAAAGATGTGTCCTTATTGACAACTAAAGTCAGCATCCTACATGATACAGGAACCCTCCCTGCAATGCCTCTGAGAGTCCTCAAATGCATGCCTATTTACCTGCAGTAACTCACTTGAAGGCATTTCATTAACCAGCAGAATTGTTGTAAACTTGTTCAAATTCTGGGTATGGCAATGTAGTGTATATTAGTGGGTAAGGGCATAGGCTTTAGAAATAGACCTGGGTTTGAATATCAGCTGAACTAATTAAAGCAGTGTGACCTTGAACAAATAAATCCCTTGGCCTCTAAGCTGTGGTTTCCTCGTTTGCAAAATGGGAATAAGAGCATTATCTTGCAGGGTTGTTCTGAGGATTACATGAAATAATGAATGGCAAGGGCTGATCAGTGCTCAGTATACTCTGTTGCTCTTATTATAGATGTACCCTCCTGTAACTTTTTTCCACTGAGAACCACATATGCCAGCTATTGTTATAGTGTTGTATATTTAATGACAAGCAAGACTAAAAAGTCCCTCATCCCTTGGAGTTTATGTTCTAGTGGGATATTTAAGCAAAAAACAAGTAAATGAATAAACAGTGTCAGACTGTGTTAAATGCTGTGCAGAAAATTGAAATAGGGTGAGGTGAAAGGGAGTGATATGGCTGGTGGGAGGAATGTGGCCTTTTATTGAGCTGCGAGCTGATGACAGGAAGATGCAGCCATGCAAAGATCTAGGGAAAGGGCGTTCCAGGTGGCAAGAATGGCCAGTGAAAAGGTCCTGAGGCAGAAATGAGCTCGCTCAAGGTAAAGAAAGAAGAAGGCCAGGGGGTGAGGTAAGTAGTAGGGCCATCAGGGCACAGAGGTCTGCAGCAGGCAGATCACGTAAGCTGTGGAGGCTGGGTCATGCAATTTGAATATTAGCTATGTTAATCTCATGCTGTCCCCTGAAACGAGGTAGAAGGTGCCTTGTTCATTTGGCAACCATCCAGCTTTCCAATGACAGCTGATAGGCTCCCAGTCTCTTGACCTCCAGGCTAAACACTCCCGATTCTCAGTTTTCCCAGTTGAGTTTCTAGCTAATACCCTGATGTATTCTGGGCCCATAAACCTAGAGCCCAAAAGAAATCAAGTTAGACTCAAAGAAAATCAGGCTGAAGAAAACCAGAAGATCTCCAGTTGGAGTTGTAATGAACTAAACCAACAACTGTGTTTCTCCTTGAAACCTTGCCCCTGGTGCATTTGCAAGGGAAAGGAGGGGGAAAGCAGCCTCTTTGAGCTTCTTCCTGGATAAAAGACATCTGGAACCATTTATCCAGGTGGATCTGGTATAGGATCTGGGCTTTCAAAGGAAGCTAGAATATAACTGACAGTGGCCGATCTCCAGCCAGGGTGGTCTAGGAACTCAAGCAGGGTCATTAGGGTCTAGACTGTCTCTATCACTTGGCAATGCTTCCTCATGTTGGCTTCCCTCTCAAGCAGCCTCTCTCGATGTGGGGACAAAAGGGCTCTTAGAATCCCCCAGTTTGGTGTATATCAGAAAAAGAACATCTCTTATCTAGTTGTCTCAACAAAAGTCTAGAATTCTGTGCTCTTGGCTAATTAGCTTATTGGGTTGCATGTTCACCTCTGAATCACACGCACTGTGGCCAGGGAGCTGCCATGTCCTAACTGGCCAGGCCAAAGCTCCGTGAACACCCCTGAACTTGATAATGGAGGGAGGTCCTCCCCATCCGTTTAGACTGAGATGATAAATTTTTTGTTAGGCAAGAGAAGTAAGTTCTAAAGATCACTGTACAACTTTGGGCTTATAATCAACAATACTAAACGGTACTCTCTTGAAATTCTATTTAAAGGATAGAGCTCATGTTATCTGTTCTTACCACAATTTTTTTAAAAAATGAATGCTGCTAGGAGAAAACAGGAGAACAAACCTGGACAGGCAAAAGCACACAGCTATCTTACACTTTCCCGCTCAGAATTAACTGCTCCTTCTCTGTGGTTCAGAGATACATCTCCTGTACCTCTCATCTCCTCTTGTTCGATAGTTTAACATGTGTACCTAGGTCTCCATCGGCTTTTCAAAGCTCCGCGGGGATGGAAACCACGACGTAAGCACCTCAAGGTACCCCTGCTGTGGCACCAGGACCGCGGAAGGGTCCAGGACGTGCTTGCTTAAGTTGAATCAGGTTTCAGGGCCCATATGACTGTCATGCTCCTCCAACAGTCCCCAAGACAAAGCACCAGAGAACTTGCCCTGAACAGGAGCTGCTGATCCTCACCCCCTCTGTGATCTTTCGGGTTTTCCCCAGGCAAAGCCAACAGGAACATCCAGTGGGACGAAGATTCGGTGGAGTACATGCTGGCCAACCCGGTCCGGATCGCCTTCGTCCTGGTGGTGCACGGCCGCGCCTCTCGGCAGCTGCAGCGCATGTTCAAGGCCATCTACCACAAGGACCACTTCTACTACATCCACGTGGACAAGGTGAGGCCCCGTCGCCCCCGCTGGCCTTTCTGTGTAGGTCCGTCAGCCTCTCTCCAAGCTAATCTCCCCTTCAGGGAAGGCTAGGAGGCTGCACAGCTACCTCTCCTAGGGAGAGGGTGTGTGTGCGCGCACATGATCCATAAACACTGGTTTTCTTCCCTCTTTTCCTTACTGTCCCCCTGCCCAATGCAGTGCCTGCCACTTTGTGAAGATAGCTATCTCAGGAGTGAGCGCACTTTTTTCTTTACGGGGCCAGATAGTAAATCTTCTAGGCTTGAAGGTCATACCTTCTCTGTCGCAGCTACTTAGCTCTGCCATTGCAGCGTGAAAGCAGCCATAAACAATACATGAATGAATGTGTGTGGCCATGTCCCAATAAAACTTTATTTACGAAAACCTGCAGCAGGCTTACTGACCCCCGAGCTGTCTTGTCCCAGGGGTTTCTGTTAGCCTGCTGACATGACATGATTATGTCCTCACTCGAGAGGCAAAGGGGTGCTTGATCCAAAAGGTCTGCTTCTATCTAGCAGGCCTGTGAGAGGGTAATGGAGACACTCCACCCCTCAAAATACTCCTCAGGTTTCGGTACAGCCGTACTCCACAGTTGCTATCCTCAGATCACCTGCATCAGTCTTGTATAAAAATGCAGAGCCCCAGGCTCCTAGTGAACCGTTAGGTCGGGGGGGGGCGGCAGGGAATCTGCATTTTAAATAGCTAAAGTAAAATTTAAAAAATAAAAAAGCTTCCGATAGTAATGCAGAAAGATGCCCCAGCCTGAACTAGTTACCTGGCCAAGTTCAGAAACCCTGCCAACTAGAAGGGAAGGGGAAAAGAAGGACAGGGGCATGTCTGGGTGTTTTCTGAGTTGCTGAATGTCACCCCTTTCTCTCCTGGGAAAAAGCGCTCCAATTACCTGCATCGCCAAGTGCTCCAGTTCTCCAGGCAGTACCACAATGTGCGTGTCACCCCCTGGAGGATGGCCACCATCTGGGGGGGAGCCAGCCTCCTGTCCACATACCTACAGAGCATGCGGGACCTCCTGGAGATGACCGACTGGCCCTGGGACTTCTTCATCAACCTCAGCGCAGCCGACTACCCCATCAGGTAAGGTGGCTGCGGCCCAGCCAGTCTGCACCAAGGTCCCGCTCCCTCTCGCCCCCCCTGGTCTTAGCGGGAAACCAGAGGCACAGGCCATTTGCCTCCTGTGCAGAGCAGCTTGTGTGCGTCAGCGAGGGGCCTCCGCGAGCTTACTCACCGTCTTCATAGATCCCTCAGCATAGGACCCATGCTGGAGCTGAGCATCATTTGTGCATTCATTCATTCATTCACTCATTCAACAGATATTTATGGAGTACACAGTTTTTCTTGCTCTGTTTAAGGAAACACTAAAGGGACCATCTCCCTTCCCTCACAGATCTTCCGTCTAAGTCGGGGAGACAAATAACAAAATAAGTCAAATGGTGTGTGGGGAAAACAAAGCAGAGAGAAGACTAAGGGGAGAGTAGTAATTTTAGCCAGCACAACTAGGACTGTCCTCACTGAGAGGAGTGGAAGAGGAAGGATCAGTGAGTCACGCAGGCAGGGAAAGTGGCCCAGGAAGGGGGAACAGCAGGTGCGAGGCCCTGAGGTGTATTGCAGGAACAGCAAGGCTCAGTGTGGCTGGAACAGATTAAGTGAGGCATGGGGTAGTATGAGACAGAAGATCAGAGAGAAAAGTGGGGCGAGATAGTAGAGATTCTAGAATTTGGGTATCACTCAGCAAGATGGGAACCACTGGCCTGTTCTGAGCAGAGGAGGACAGGGTGTGACTTGGGAGTTAAACCCGAAGGGGCAGAGTGGAGTAAGGGAGGTCGGGTGTGACAGTTCAGGCCCGATCCCGGACTGGTCGGTGTCTTTGGGCTATTAGAGGACCATGAGTGTTTTGGTTTGTAGATTTGTTTGCCTGTTTGTTTTGGCTCCTATCAAATTTTCACAAATGAATTGATTGCCTACATTTTTAAATTGGGAGATTTCACATGAAACTACAGATTTTGAGCTTCCCTGGAAGGTCTGCCCACTCGGCTGCAGCCTGCTTGGCCACCGTTGCGTGGGGCAGATAGAGCGGCCTGCCACCCGAGGTGGTGGAGACGCCACAAGGAAGTCCCTGTGAGCAAACATTGATCTGCTCTGCAAAACAGACCATAAGCAAAGAAAAACCCTCCAGAGGCCTTGTCAATGAAGACAGGCAAGAAAATGAACTGTATTTCCTGTCACGACACCAGCTCTTTGCTCGATTGTGTCTTCCATCCTGATTTATTGAGAAGCAGACGTGAGTGGACAGGGAGTGGGGACGACGTGTGTGAAGGAGAGGCCTTCCTTCCTCTGATGGCATGAGGGCCCTGGGAACCACATTCCCAGAAAAACGAAACGAAGGAATCTTTAAAAATACACGCACTTTTATCAGCGCAATTTTCAAACATGCACAAGAGTTCATCAACGCTGTTTCAACTATGATCAGTTTGTGACAGCCTGGTAATACCTGTGCGCGTCCCTTCTCCTTCCAGCCTCAGTGAAGCATTTCCAAGACATCATCAAATTGTACCTGTAAATATTTCAGTATACATCTCTCTTTGAACACAGCATCAATGTGATTATCACATCTCAAATATTAATAGTCATTCCTAATGCCATCAAATATTGAAGCCACATATTCCCAGGAGTTTGGGTTTTGAGTCGGGATCTAAATGAGATACAGGCATGGAGGGAAGGCCTCTATTTAAAGCTAGAAACAGCTTCTGTCTCCTTCACATGGTTTGTGGTCCTCTCCTTCATTCCCGGGCTTGGTGACCCTGGACTCCAGAAGCGCTCTGGGGAAGGTACAATCTTTGTTCAGTTTAGGCAAAATACACCTGGCACCCTTAGGAACCTGAGAAAAGTGATGGGGGTTAGAAAGACACTTGTTTTCTTTTGTTTGTAGGATTTTTTAAAAGGGTGATTTTGAAACATCACTGGCAGATTTTTACTTATTTACTTATTCAGTCATTCATTCCACAAAGATTTATTAAGCAGCTACTGTGCTAGGCACTATTGGGGCATTTAGTGAGCAAAAGCCACCCAGCCCCTACCTGGTGGTACCCTAGTTGGGAAGATGGACTTAGATAATCTTGTGGAAGAGGCATCATGCAAGGTGTGAAAGGGCCATAAAGAAAGGCAGGTAGTTTGAGTGCAAGAGGGACATAGTCAGGACATCAGAAAGGCCTCTGAATGCGCAGTTTTGAGTTGAGATCTGAGGATCAGAAGGGACTGGCATCCCTGACCGGGTGGCTCGGTCGGTTGGAGCATCGTCTCATACACCAAAGGGTTGCAGATTCAATTCCCGGTCAGGGCACTTGCCCGGGGTGCAGGTGTACAATCCCTGGCCAGGGTGTGTGGGAAGCAACGGATTGATGTTCCTCTCTCACAGTGATGTTTCTCTCTCTCTCTTTCTCTCCTTTCCTCTTTCTCTAAAATCAACAAATATATCCTTGAGTAAGGATTTTTTTTTAAAAATGAATTGGCAAGCAAATGAGAAAGATCATTCTAGACTAGGATTTCCCAAGCTGGACTCTGTTGACACAGTGGTCTGGATCATTCCGTGCCGTGAGGGCTGTCCCCTGCACTGTTGAGTGTTTGGCAGCATCCCTGGCCTCCACCCCTAGATGCCGGTAGCACCCCACCCCAGTCACCGTGACGACCACAAATATCTCTAGTTGTTGTTTTCCCCAGGGGCAAAATCACCTCCAGCCGATAATTCCAATTCCTGAAAGAACAGCTCGGGCAAGACTTGGGTCAAAGATGAACTAGTCCCATTTTAGAGGTTTAAACATGGATAGAGTGCAATAAAAAAATGAGGAGAGGTGAGTTAGAGAGGGACAGGGCAGGGGTGAGGTAGAACATTCTCCATCTCCCAGGGAAGGACGGAGTTCAGAAATACTCTAACATGCCAAGTGCAGCAGCTGATGTGGGAGGTGCTTCCTTCAGCCCCCAAAGCAAACCTGTTTAATTGAAAGGCAGACTGAGGCCCAAGGTCATATAAAGAATACTTGGTGCGGTGGGGATTAGAACCAGTTCTGGCTGGTTCTACGGTTGGTATTCTTTCTGCTTGATGTGATGTTGGCCTTGACCCCTGGGGAAGTCAGCTGGCTCCGAGTGCTGGGATGGCCCTAGGCCACCTAGAGACACAGCCCTCCTCAGAGTCCTACCTCGGTAGAGTAGTGATTGTACCACCTGTCAGCAGGAAGTCTCATGAGAAAACGTCATCTATTGTCCGGAGTCTGACTAGCTAGGATCAAGATTCCCACACTCTTTTCTCCAGGCCTCCAGTGGAGGCCCCTGAGGTCATTTCAGCCTAGGTCAGGTCTTGGAACTCTGCCAGAGACCCTCTTGAGGTCAGGTAGGTGTGCCCAGGCCTGTGGCCGTCCCCAGGAGACTCTCCTCAGGTCCCGAGGCTGCCCCCTAGAGGCCTTGTGTTGATTTGCAAGTTGAAACCATAACCCAAGCCAGTTAACCAATTCGGCCCTGCCAGGATATCCGAATTTCTAGCATTTCAGCATCCAAGAGGATGGGTGCTCCAGCTCTCAGCAGGTGGCCAAGGTTTGCGTCTGAGTTCTGCCACTTCACTCGCAGAACCAGAGCCGCCATCAGTAAATTTGATGTCTGTAGCAATGCAGCCTAGCAGAGTGTTGAGCACTTAGAAAGTGCTCAAGAAATGTCAACTGTTAATTCCATTGTGTGTAAGGCTGAGCCTCCAGAAATCCTTCCTCAGACAGTGTGCCCACCTATTTGGGGGCTCAGAGAAGAGAGTCATCGTATTTCTAGCTTTTTTAGCTTTATGCTCCTGTCGGCCTTTCTCGGCTCTCATTTCCGTGCCCCTGCCCCAATCTTCTGCCCGCTGTGCATTGCCAGCCTGATGGCCAGAGGCACTTCATGCATCAAGCACTGCTGGTTCCTCTTGCTGTTGTTTTCACGAAGTCGCCCCACACAAAAACATATGAATTTTGCAGATGAATGGTTTTATCCTGGGCAGCTCTGATAGGCTTTCACTTCCCATCTGCCGCTCCATCTGTGGCTTCCCAAACCACAATTTCTTCCATCCCAGGAAGGGTAAGCAAACTTAGGAGCCTTCTCAAAACAGCGGGGGTGCCCAAGAAGAAGCTTCTGGGAGACTCTGAAAGCTTGAGGGATAGCCAAGGGCAGGGCCCACCCAGTGTGGCTACTTTGAGCTGTTTGTGATTTGATATGACCTCCCCATATCTGCTGCCCAGCTCTGCCTGGGGGACCAGACTCTTCCTCTTTCAAGTGGTAAAAACTTGTTGTTCTGCACTGACCACCAGCCTTCTGTAGGCCCTGGACACATCCTGGCTGCAGATTCTGTGCCACCACTGACTCGGCACAGGCTGCTTTAGCTTTCTGCATCTGTTTGTCTACCTGAAAAACAGGCACCAATAACAGGCTGTTATTAGTGCAGCGGTGGAACAGTGTGGGCAGCTTGGGCTAGGCTTCATCAGCAACTGAATTCTCCTGGTTCCCGTTACTCGTGAAAAGACTGGTGAAATAGTTCTTGCACTCACATTTCTTTACAAAGTGGAAAAAGTAAAATTAGACTATAAAGGCTAATGTTTCAGAGAAAAACTGGACAGAGCCAACTCGCTTGTGAACGTGCCGACTATCCCTGCCTTTGGAACGTGCAAGCTGAATGTGTCAGGACTTCAGGCCCTCTCACCCTGGCGTAGGCCTGACTGACTGGCCCACACAGGTCCTGGTTGGAGCTGGTCATGTGTCCAGTGCATGGATGAAAAGGGATGTTATCAAACATGGAGACCTCGTGAGGTCTTGAATCATCAGAGGATGTGCTGGTTTTATTAACTATATTCTACTCAGGCAGGAAATCGCACGGGCGTGCATTAGTTAGATGGGCCACTGGAAGGGAGGAAACCCAAAGCAGTCTGCACTGTTGCTTCGTTGGGGCCGGTGGTAACAGACCCCACACTGTCCATCCTTCCCCAGGCCCTGCACCTGGGGGCAAATCCAGTGCAAAGGGAGGAGGGCTCTGTGTGTCTCTGGCCTCTCCAGGGCTCGCGTGCTGT